TCGCTGCCCCACGCTGCGCCCACCCACCCCACGGGCTCTGCTCACAGCCCCCCCAGCCGAGGGTGTCCCCCCTGGCTCTTGCGGGACGCAGCAGCGGCTGCGATGGTTTCTGCCAGCATCCCCAGGAGGGTGGTGTCCCGGAGGCATGTGCGGTGCGTGCTGAATAGCGGGTGTTGTGCAAGCCATCGCTTTTCCCTTTCAGCTCGTTAGTCAGCGATGGCAGGATTACGGCCTCTCCCCTTTTATCGCTGCTGCAGCAACCCACCCTGGCAGGAGCTGGGAAAAGCCGCCAGCTCGGCAAGGCAGGAACCGTATAAATCCACCCTGTGTTTTGCACGTTTCAGAGGTTCTCGTGTTCAGCGGTGATTAACTGACCGGTGAGCTGTTCAAGGAGCAGCAGCGCTGCCTGGCTTGCCGGTCCCTGTGCCGGGGAGGGCAGGAGCAGCTGGAGGGGGCTGCGTGTGGCTGGGCCAAGGGCAGGAGCCGGTGTGAGCACGACGGCAGCAGCACAGCAGCGTTGGGAGCTGCGGCTTGCTGCACCTCCCTGGGCGTTGGGCTGTGAGCAACCTACCCTAAATTAACCCTAAATTAACTCGTATCCCCTTTACTGGAGATTTTTGAGGAAGTAGCCTTTTCAGTGAGTTATCTACTGTAGGGGTTAAGGGCTTGTGCAGTGAGCTGTGCCTGGCTGGACTCGAGCTGTGTGGAAGCGGCTGGGCAGCAGCATTGCCTCCAGCCCCCACTGCCACCCAGCACCCACGCTGCCTGCGCTCAGCGGGCGCCTGCTGGTTTGGGGGCAATCGTGATGGGTTTGTGCTTTGAAAGACCGCGGGGTCTGTAGCATTTGGTCATGCAGCAGCGGCTGATTTTTTTTTTCTGAGAGAGGGAGAACCCATATTCCCCTCCGGACGTTGTGGTCCGGGCTCCTAGTGAGGCAGTGAGCTCAGCACTGCCACAGCCGCTCTGGTAGCTGCTTGGTAGGAACTGGAGCAAAGCAGCAATTTTCTGCCTGAGAATTCAGTCATCTGGGGTCAATTTGATGAGACCGGGGCTGGAACTGGGCTCTGGAGACGGAATTGCTCGGCTGGAGCAGTTTCAGGCTCGAGGTAATGCCACTGTCTCACAGCGCGCCGCACACCCAGCCCAGGCAGCGCTGCACAGCGCTCAGATACAAGGGCTGGGGCATGGAAGAGGCCGAATCTCTGTCTCTGGGTATTTCTCGAACTGACAATATAAATTATTTCAATGTGGTAACGGGAAACCAGAGCCAGCAGAGTGTGGGCTGGTGGCAAGTAGCTGGTTGTGTGACTCGCAGCCAGAGTAGAGGAGGCATTTTTAAATGTACAGCAAGCCGGGTGGCGGCCAGCGCTGTCGCAGGGACGGTCCATCGACACGCGGCTGCCAGCGATGCAGAGAGCATCGTGCAGCCTGGGCAGGAGCCTCCAGCACGACCAGGGCTGCGTGGCACATCCTGGATCCATGGAGGCAGGTTGCCGCGAGCCGGCTTGTTGCCCTTGGGGAGGCATGGACAGGCCCCAGGGTCTCCATCCCCCCTCCGAGGGATGGCCGCAGCGAGCGGCAGTGCCCACAGCTCCTTTCCCACCCTTCCCCTCCCTCATTTATAATTCATTCGCGTTGACGTCCAGCTGCCGGGGCGAGCGGTGCCCAGGCGGCTGCGTGGGGACGGACACCGCCACCTCCCGGCAGCGGCACGGTCACGAGTGCCAGAGCTCGGACACCCCACACCGCAGCCAGGCCCCGGGCCGGGGTTGGTGTGCTGCTCTCATCGCTTGTTAGAGCACGGGGTTCGGGTAAGCACAGGCAGGACCCATTCAGGTGGCCGCTATTTGGCCTTTCTGACCCCAAAACCACTAACAGCAGCCAGGCCGCACGGCCCCAGGCTGCGAGAGGAAGGACACACGTTGTCAGCGGCATCCTGGCCGGGCCAGCACAAACGCCGCCGCGGCAGCTGCGCCCTGACCCCGCAGGGGGGGATCCGAGGCCCCCCCCCAGATCTGCCGGGTGGGCCCAGAGGGTCCTTGCCCAGGGCTGCCAACAGGAGGGAGTGAGAAAAGCCTTGTGGGCGGCCAGCTCCCCGCTGCCCGGCGAGAGCCCCCACCCGCCGGCCTTTCCCTTCTCACTAGCATCACCATGCGGCCGGAGCGCCTGTGGGCTCACCTGGGAGTCACGCACTCATCCAGGCACAGCTCCAACACTGCCAGAGCTGTTTAATACCCATTTACTGCAAACCAAACAGCCTGAGCTGCAATTTTATTAACCCTACAGCACGCCAAAAGGAAGGGATGCTTCTTCAGCACCCAAACCTCAGCAGTTTAGCCCACTACAGGGAACTTCTGCCTTTCGTCTTCCCGCTCGTGCCTCCGCAGCAACTGTCTCTTCCCCTCGAACAGCACAATGCCAGCAGCGATAGCGGAGTTCAAGCTGTCCACGCCTGACACCACAGGAATGACCAGTCTCTTCCCCCCGGTGCTGGCTGCGAGGTGAAGCGCGTCTGGACTCAGACCATGAGTCTCTCCGCCGATCACCACTGCCACTGGAGTCTGTGTCCAGTTCTCGTAGTAATACTGCGCAGCCAGCTCTGGGACACCGACACCTGCCGCTCCCTCCTCATCCTCGCACTCAGGAGCGGCCTTGGGTTTGGATTTCACAGGAGCTTTCGGGTTGCCAGGAGCAGAGGCAGCCCCGCCGGCTCCCCTCGACACGGACGCGGTCTCAGCCTGAGCGCCTGGGTCTTTGTTGTCAGCCACGCAGACCTGGACGCCGGCAGGAAGGTTGCCGGGAACAGATTCCCAGTCCAGGTTGGCGACGATGGGCAGACGGAAATGAGCTCCCATGCCTGCACGGAGCACCTTCGGCTCCCACGGATCCACACAGCCTGAGAGGGAAGGGAAGAAAACAGCAACACTGCAGCGGCTCCCACAAAGACGGATTCAGCAGCCGCTGCTTCCCGCAGCAAATCGTGTCTGGGCCAGGCACTGCTTACAAACTCTTGGGAACAACATCTTCAAGCACCTCTTATTCCCTGCCTTACCCCCAAATTACTCAAACTGAACTTTTTTCCCCCAAGGAAAGGCTGTTACCTTTGGTGAGCAGCACTTTCTCACAGCCTGCTCCTGCTGCAGACCTCAGAATAGTCCCCAGGTTTCCCGGATCTCGGATATTGTCGCAGATGAGGAGCAGCGGCAAGGAGCTGGTTAGCTGAGCGGCAGGGTAAGACATCTTGGCATGGTCGGGCTTGGAAAAGATCCCTGAGGAGACAAAGTGCTGACAGGCTTCTGACTAACACACCCCAAGGAAAGGGCTGTCTCTCATTTAGTTGGCCCAAATTTCACCGAAGAGGTGCTGGAGGAAGCATTAGGAAAAGCACTGCTTAAAAGAAGTTTGAGAAGAGTTTGTCGCTTGACAAGGAGAACTAATCTCCCAGCAGAGCTGGAGCGGCGTGCTATTAAAAATGAGCATTATCACCTTCAGCGTGCTGTAGGAGCCACTTTCACGGTTACCACAGCAGGCCAAATAAAAGGGTACTCTCTCAAGTTATGCCGCTCTTGACACACTGCCAGAACGCCTAGGGGAAGGCTATGAAGAGCGAGTCGTTACCCACTTACTAAGCGTGAAGTAAGTTTCCCTTTGAGCAGCGTCATGACCGTTTCTAAGGCAACTTACCTATAAGCCCCTGAGGAGTTATGAGGTCAGACCAGCTCTTAATGTCTTCAAATTTCACCTTAACTAAGTTGGCTCGTTTCAGCTTTGCCTCGGGCAGCTCCTTCAGGTGCCCCACAGTGCTGAAGAAGAGACTCTGCAGCACAGCTCCTGCCTCCAGGGCGTCCTTGATCAGCCTGTGACCCTCCAGCACAACCTTCCCGTGATGATCCCGAAACTTCTTCGACTTGGCGATGGTCACCACTTTCCTGTGGAGAAGTTAATCAGAGAAAAGGGTTGCAACGCTACCACCACCGTCAGTCCGACGTCTGCCAGCCACCGAGAACCTCACTCGGAAGTCCCCCAGGTATCTTTAGCCCGGCTGTAACTGGCGTTGCCGTGTCAGTCTCTGCCCAGAACCCCCAAAGCGCCGGCATTTGCCTCACACTCCGCAGATGCGACACCGGGCAGCTCCGGGGCGCTTCCGCAGGGGGGCTCAGCGCGGAGCATCCCCGCACCCCCAAA